CAGATAATGCCTTAAAGTGGCCCTGTTGACAATATGGTTTGATTTTAAACCATAACAATGGACCTGTGTGTTTTTTGTTGCTGATAGGACACTTGACATTCTGTCTGTATTTAGGAAGTTTATTGGAGAGGTTTGCACTCTTAAAATCCCTAAAAACAAGAGTCTAGGTGTTTTCCCACATCTCTTATTAGCTCAGTGAGCTGCTTTTTGAGTCTCTGATGTGCAGGATTGTGGTGGGATGTAAACATTTGGCCAAAATAGAGGAGAACTCCTTCTGTGAATAAAAGGGTTTTACACTCTATAAAGAATATACAGCAGCCTTTGTTTATGTAAAAGCAGATTCCACCTCCTATCTTTTTCCCTGAGAGCTCTGCGCTCCAGTCTGCTAAAAGCAGCTGGAACTCCAGTATTAGAAGTGCACTCTCCGGGGTGTGTTCACCGAGCCCAGTTTCAGTGAAACTGTGGGCAGATCAATGGAAGTCTGAGTTTATTGAACTGAGAAGGCACAATTCATCCATTTTGTTAGCCAGGGAGCAGACATTAGCCAGCTGGATTGAGGGCAAAGGTGCACAGAATCCCCCGTTGCCAAAACTTCACAGGCACGCCTGTCCATTTACCTCTTCTTTGTCTCCACTCATCCTCATAGAGACTCACTACTGCACCAGCTAAGATGTGAGTGATGCAGGAGTTGATGGAAATTTTAGAAAGAATACCCAAAGAGAGCTGGCTTATAGTTATCATTTCCTTTCTGGAGTAAGGAAGGAAATAATTTTAAATGATTTGTTTTTGTAAAGTGCCTTGAGACATTTGTTGTGAATTGGTGCTATATAGATAAAATTGCATTGAATTGTACCTCAATACAACTTAATAGTTCCTTCATATTCTATTGAATTTAAACTACTCACCTGTTTAACAGAATCTGGATCACAAGTTTGTTTTTTTGTTTTTTTTTTTCTCTTTTTCAATCAACAGTTGTGCAGATTCATCAGGTGATTAACCGATGCCTCTTTACTCCCCTTTTAAGTTGTTTGCGGATAAAGGAAGTGAAGAGAACTGATGCATTTACAGAACTAAAAATTATTTTTGAAAGTGATAGTTTTACATTTAAAATCATTTCCTTCTACCAAAGAAAGGTTTATGGTTGGAAATGACAGTCATTTCACAAAAGATATTATTAATTATAATTCAATTTGACTTATTTATATACTGACGCATAGATAAATCTGTTCAATTGAATCACACATGAATTCCAATTGATTGTAGTTATCAAACAGGACATTTAGCTCAGGTATTTCTTCACATTAGTTTAAAACTTGTTCTGTCTAAGAAAACCAAGCAGATGGCACAGTCATTGACTCGTAGCGTTCACACCTCCTGTAAGAGCTTATAGCGACAACAGGCATTTGCTTGTGTTGTTGACTTTGCAGCAGTCCCTCATACTGAACACGGATCTAAGGAGCACACCAAATAGATCGGAGATAAAGTTGAGGACGTCATCCATCATCTAAGTGGAAAGGCTGAACAAAGAGCATTAATTGGCATTAATACTTTTGCAATGTTCTGTATGTGTTTAAAAACTGGTCAGTGAGTTGTAATGTGGACTGAATAAAAATGATTTCACTAATTTGTGAGGCATTTTAATTGGCAAAATTCAAAGATAGCAATGACTGATATAATGAAAATGTGGTGAAAGTGCTAGTTTAATTAATCTAATATGCGATGCTGCTATATGAACTAAAAACCAGAAAGGAGTACACAAAGATCTAGTGGATGCTTAATTATAGTGCAGATTATTTGAACTAAGTAAGCATTTATCTAAAATGCATTTTTGCAGCTTTTTATAAATAATAATGCAATACTCTGAGCAACTTGGGTGCAATAAAGCCAGAGAAATATTGCTTAAAAACATAATAAACTGACTACAGGATGAGTGGGCAGAGAAAATGGTGAAAAATTATAAGTTTATACAGTTTAGCTGTGTGAAAGACAGGTTGATGGGATAGAGCATTGTATGGGCAACTGGAGATGATTTGAGGAAATATGAAAGGTCATGCACACCTGAAAGGTGCCAAGCTTTTTATAATAGAGTGTTGGGTTTTTACAAGTGTTTGTTAAGCTGTCTGTGGGGACTGCAGGAGTTTGAAGCCAAGAGGCTTTGAGGAAAAAGGAAGTGAACAGAAGGAAAAATATGAAAAAAAAATGAAGCAGAAAAAAGGTGGAAGGAGATGGATTTTTAACGTGAAGAGGATTTGAAGCAATGGACATAACTGATGTGTGATGCTTCAAGGCCTAAAACTTCATTTTTTCCCCATATGGGGATAAATACCCACAACCACGGTAAATTCCTCACCGAGCTCTTAGTTCCAAAACACGCTTGGTCAGAATTTCAGCTGAGAAATTAATGCTTTTGACCTGGGCTTGCGAGAAATGCCAAGCGTTCCAACTGAGGATAAATCTTTATTTTTAAGAACCACTGCCTGTGAGCCATGGAACAGCAAAATGCCTGAGGCAAGGGTAACGATCACCAGAGGTAGCTGCTGAGGGAAAGACAAAACAAGCAGCGTTAACACCAAAACAGAACAGGTTGCAGATATCTTAAAAGGTTTTTCAATTTGATGGATTTATCTTTCGATCTTCATAACTCCCCACTGTATATTTTATAGTAATCCTACTTTTACCCATTTTTACACCAACTGTTGTTTTGTTTTACTAAATAAACATGGATAACTATGGATAACTTCTTGAATGTGACTTAATGTACTTATCACAAAAATAAAGCAAACTAGCAGAGGGCTAAGGGATCTTGTCGCTAGAATCAGACATGGAGGCTTCTTGGGCTTGGGTCCGATGGAAGAATGGAGAGCCGTCTTGGGGCAGAGATCGACGGAGGACCAGGGAGGCGTCTCAATATCAGGACCTACAGAGGAACAGAGAGGCGGAGGCACAGGGGGGCGTCATGGAGCCGAGATCGACAGCCAAGATCGACATCTTCAAAAGGCATTTCATTTGATGAAATACCTCTTGAAGATGTTATTGGCACCAGAAGAAAGTTTTGAGAAAAAACTGCCCCTCTTCTTCTGGTGCTTTTAAATCTGGCTTAAAAGAGATGACACAATTGTGTCGTCAACGATCTCATGCTCCATGAACCCCAAAGCCCATCCGGCAGAACATCCAAAGGTTTTTCTTAGGTCCCTGAAAACCTTTTTTGCAAGGCCAGGGACCCAGTCCACTTGGATTTCTGTCGGATGGCTTCCGATCTCAGGGAATCAAGACACCTCCGTGTCTTTGACTCCCTAATGCCCAGACACAGCAACAACTTAACAAAAAGTCGCACTGTGTCCTTTCTCTGCTCCTCTAGGGACGCCCTCAGTCCTTCGGTGTTTCTCCTCGCTGTCATCAGTTCATGGACTATACTGATGACAGCTCGCACCAAAGAACTGAGACCTAAGCCCAGCCTAAGAATCAACGAGGGGTCTTCATCATCCATAGGAGACGTGACTGCAGATGTTATGTGCTTCAGGAAGAGCATGTCAAGCAATTCAGCACAGTCTCCCTGGATGATTTCGTCGACTCCCATCGCCCGGGCAAAGGCCTGAGAGACCTGATTTCCAAAGATGGCTTTTAAATCGCCATACTCGTAGTTCAGGTTCTCAGAAACGTCCTTGAAAAAATCGGAGAAAACCTCCGTTAAGTAACGTAAAAGATATCTCGTCCTCTCTGCGATACCTTCATCCAGGTCCAGAAATTGTAGATCCACCCAGTCCTCTTCCTGAGTTTGATCAATGTATTCGCTGATTGCAGGGATGGCATGTCCATCAACTAAAAACTGCACATCTCTTCTCAATAACTCCATTGTGTTGTGTTGAACTGAACTCGATCCTGACTCCTCTAGAACTGTCTTTTAATGTGGCAGAATGTTACCAACCGGGGTTATTTATACCCCGTGTTACACAACAAAGCAGTATGTGACATCACAACCTGTTCATGTTATTATGATGTCACAGACAACTTTCCTTTAAATTCTTAAAATGACGTTTTTATACTTATTTATCTTTAACTCAATCTAAATTCTTGCTCAGATATAAAAATAAAAACTCAATACTTAAATGGGATCTCTGCTGGTGAATAAATCTAAGTAAACTCAGTGGAAATTCTTAGTAACATTTGAGATTGACAACATCTTGTTTTATATTATCTTTATTTATTTATTTTTTTTAATTTAGATGACATCTTTGACACAGTTGATTGTGTAATGTGTAATTGTCAAACAGGATCCTGCAACACACATATTTATTCACCTTTGCACAGTAGCAGTTTAAAATAAGTCGTCTGACTGGTGTGTACTATTACGTAAGGATTTCCAAGGTGCCAGTTGTGACTCCATCCCTTCAAACTAAATAAAGTTTCAAAAACCACTCTGTTTACTGTAATTGACATGAATGCATTAAGAGGAAACCTGCCAACATCTCTATTTAAAATAAATAAACTTTTTATTTAGAGTATGAGCGGTGATGTGCTGCTGAGCATGTTTTATTTTCTTGTTAAAACATCTCGCTCATGTGACAAAGACACAAAGCTTTCCCTTAACTCTTGGGCCAACTCTTCAAAAAGGAAACAAGTCTTCATTACAATGGTTGCATGTAAGAATTTCAACAACAAACATTGTTTCTGCTTAGAAGGGCTTCTAGCTCAATACATGAGTGAATAAATCCTCCGGTGGTGGGAATTGCTATATATCTGAACCTCCTTCTGGATTATGGTGATTATCTTTTCCCTAAAATAAAATACTGTGGATTAGATGATTTGTGCACAATCATTATGAGCTCATTACATTAAATTGATCTATTGAGGTAAATTTATTGGTTTTGATTCTCAGGAATATTCTGACAGTGATTTAATAAAAATAAAAAGATGAAATTACAAAAATAAAACGAGAGCTGATACAAACCAACAGGGAAGAACCCTAAAAAGACTTGGAGGACAGCAGAGGGATAAAAAAAAAATACTGTAATTATTAGGACAATAAATTTTGAGAAGAGGTTTATACAGGGACAAGGAACAGGTGAGTCTGATGACTGATTGTGGAACAGTTGTGAAAGGAGCTTGAATTGAAGACGCCTCGGGAAAGCCACAGATTGAAGATAACTGAAAAATGATTAACAAGAAAAAAATCATATATAAATGAAAAGGACACAAACAGAAGAAGACAAAACACAAAGTAACTAGAAATGCAAATAGATGAACATTTAAAATGCAAAATAATATAAAACTGTAAACCAAAGTGAAAACTTAAAGTCCCAAGGATAAGAGTAGATTAAAGCCGCTAGCGGCGTCGTGTGGCCCTCGCAGCCAAGCGCCGCTCCAGCCTATTGGACACCTCAGAGGTACTAGCAACCGCCAGCCGCAACAGAAGGTCTCATGCAGTTTCCAGCCCCACCGCCCACGTGCCAACGCAGAAGCTGTTGCACAGTTTCTGCGCGTGTCCAGCAGGCGGTACGCATTGATGCGTAAGGCGGCACTCCCTGACGACGCACAAAATATGTGGTGCAGATTGGTGGATTTGACGAGGAGATATTCCTAGTGGATTAACCTAGGGGGCGCAGTGGAGTCAAATTACATTTCAATGCTGTTGGGCTCTTTAGTGATCAACAGGTCATACATATCCAACTTGGCACCAGTCGGATGATCCATGTGTGATTTAGAGCCGATCGTATGCACATGGCGAAGGACTGCAGTTCGCCATTTCTACATCCCAATGCGGTTCGGTCAGCAGCCAGCATTCACAGAGTTCAGCAAAGATTGCAAGGTCCTTTGATTTGCATGTTTTGCAACAAAGCAAGATATGCAAATGTCTCTCTCTCTCTTGCCCCAACATAATTGTTAGTCATTATCTGACTTACAAACTAAATGTTTAGTCTGAGTTAACGGGCAGTTTTGTGAAAACAAAGGTTAAATGTTTAATAAATTTAATAAATGTTATACCACTGGGCATAATTTATTTTTACCATATTATTAAATGCTTAGCCCATCTCTGGCATTAAATGGCTAGAACAAGGACACTTGCACTCCTCAATCAAAGTTGACATTTAGCAGCAAGGATTCCATGATACTAAAAACTCCCATTATGATGATATAATAAACAATCAAGCACACCCAGCCTGAGAGCAAGCATCAATCACTAGAGAAGTCAGGGAGCTCTTGGAGTTCAGGATGGACTGATGAACGAATTGTTTTCAAAAGTGACAAAATAAACAAGTAAACATTTTGTGAAAGCCATAAACTTATGCAGTCTGGCAGTATGAAAGTATAAAATACTCAATATTTTTTTTGGTGGTAAAATTTGCAAATCAGAGAAAGTCAATAAGAACCGGGGAAATAAAAATAAGAGCGTCTGACAAACATCCAGAAAGCTGCTAAGATGTTAGTTGTTTTTTTGTGTTTTATGGTAGACCAAAGTAGTTTAAGTAAGGTGAACATGAGTTTATGTGTGGTCATGGTTTTAATTGTCCTATGCAATTTCTTGGAGAAATATTTCTCAAACAGATGATTTCCTTTTTTTTTTTTTTTTTTTTCCCCACCGTCTTGTCCTGAAGCACCTTGATGGAAAGTGTCTCAAAGTCAATGATACGCTCAGTGGACTAGTGCATGCTCAAGCCTTGTCCTTTGAAAAGGAGGACCACCATCCAAGATAAAATATTCAAGCTCCAAGTATAGAATATCTGCATGTGGAACGCCAATTTTGCAAATTGACCTTTGGGTGATTGGAAAAGAGAAAGAAGAGAGGGGGGGGGGGGATCAGTGTTGTATAAAGTACTGAAATCTCAGAGTCAAGTAAAAGTATAGGTACCTCTCCAAAATATGACTTTGGTAAAAGTCCAAGTCAATGACTGAAATGTTACTTGAGTTAAAGTCTTAAAGTATCTGAAATGTCTTGTACTTAAGTATGGAAATTACTGTAAAAATGGATGTACTCAAGTAATGTAATGAAGAGTATAAGTAAAAAGTAAAACAAGGCAAATGTAGTTTGAATGACATATTTTTATATTGTGTTTGCGTGTGTTAACGCAGACTCTTTACTTGGGTCCTAACTCGTGACGGCTCCTCCGTCACAGTAACGAGTAAATAAACCACACATTGAAAATGTATTGGAGTAAAAGTATGCAATTAAGTGCGGAAATATAGTGAAGTAAAAGTGAAAGTTATCAAAAATTTTCATACTCGAGGAAAGTATGAAGTACTCCAAAATATACTTAAGTAAAGTAGTGAAGTATTTTTACTTCGTTACTATACAACACTGGAAAAAATTGCGGTAAACATTTTATATTTTTGCATGTCTTTATTTTTTTCTAAGACACTAATACGCTTACAGTCAAAATTGTGTCCTCTGGTCCCTACTTTTCAGACTAAGCTCAAGGTATTACTTGTGTTTTGCAGCATTTTTGACCTCCATGGATTTATATGTAGAGGATGTTGCTTTCAGAAACACAGTATTTGCACAGTGTCTCTCGTACTGATATCACAAAGAACCTCAAAATTCTGGCCTTGATGGAATCACTCCATCACCAAAGTACGTGTGGCCTTAACAACTTTAATCAATCCTGTTAATTGCTCATATGTGACAGTGATGACGGTGTCATCCATTTTCCATATCAAATAGATCATTAGCTTGATGTTTTACATACTGAAGTTTAGCTCTGTTGCGCTCTCTTCCTTTCCCTATCTCCTGGTGTCTCTTTCTCTCACCCCATCTCTCTCACTGTTGCCAGCATCATTAGCAGTGGTCTCAACCAAAGTGCTTTAATTAGGATTACCTTGACTTGCAATGTAGCTCATTAAGAGCAGATGAGTCACTGTAAAACATTAACACTCGCGTCCTGGTTTTGTGATCATACAAAAATAATTTATAATAGGAATAATTACAGTGGTTGGTGCTTGAATGAAGATCCTTTTCCATCTTAGTCAATTATTTTATCAGAGTCCCATTATAATATATAGTGTAGCTATACTGTTGTGACAGATTAATACTTATTTTGCCAAATATTCACAATAAAAATGTGTATTTCTGCAGGACAAGTTTTAAAGATCTTACACGTAGGAATAGTTTAGTTAACTATATATTGAATATGCAGAACATAAAGACTGTGACACATTTTTAATTCAAGTACTGCAGTCTGCTGCTGTATAGATTAGTTTTTTTTAATAAGTCACTACTGTGATCAAATGGTCTATGTCAGGATCACAGTAGCCCGAGCCAATGCCCTGCAACTTTTTGATACATTTCCAGTCCAGCGCATCTGAATGGGTATGGGTCATTACAGGGCCAACCTTGATGATATTTAGTAGGTTATTCATGCATTTTGTTCTGGTGAGTTGGAACAGAGATGCATCCAAACGTAGTAGAATAAAAGACTTGAATGGAGAGTCCTGGTATGGAGCCAATTTGAACACGATTAGCTGTATTTTTTCACCTCTTAACAGGTCATGGGTGGGACTTATTTTCAACCTTCAAAATGAGTCTTCAGATCTCTTAAGTTTAGAAAATAAATGAATAACAATATGCACACTCATTTATTAATGTATGCTTACACTAATTGGGTGAGCCACAAAAATTCCAAATAAGAAATGCTAAATTGCATGAACAACAAAAATTTGACATGGGTCTGCAACTTTTGGCACTCTGTCCCCCACTAGCCATGTACTCTCCAACTCTGTCAACCCAGTATTACTTTTAATCTTCCTTTGCAATTAAAAAAAAAGGGTTATTATTTATATGGCCAATAGAGTTTTGGAACCAACGTCACTGCATATGACATTTACGTCTCGCGCAGTCGCTTGGCACCATCTTTAAAGGCCACAGACCAAAACAAACTTTATTCCTGTGTCTTCATTGTGTTGCCGACCGCGGTGAAGTTGTTTTCAAGTCGGATGTTGGGTATCTGTGCTCCGCGGAGTAAGGGGCGTTTAGCTCAAGGTTGATCCGATTTATGAACGCTAATTCTGGCCACCTGTTCTCTACCGCTCCTTCCTCAAATGGTTTACATAGGGACCGTCAATTTCTGAACCAAACACTTCTGTAAATAAATGCCTTGCCTTATGACCATCTGATACAAAAGTGTGGTCATTCATGCTATTACATAGGACACACTGTTCTCTATTTAAATTTTAAGTCATATTCAATATTTTAAATAATTTTAATATTAAATGTTTTCTTCATTAACTTCCAAATCGTGCCCTCCATTGACTCAAAATCAGTGTGAAATTGTTCTACTAGAGTGCATAGATCAGGCACACTCACCTTTATTACATTTTGATCCTTTATTTTTATTGTTTTCACCAAAAATAAATTTATATTAAAAAGAAAATAGAGAAAAAAAATATAAAATGCATTACCTCAGATAATTTGAAGGCAGGATCTATTTCATTACATGTTCACTTCTTGCCTGAAATATATTAAATACAACAAATATTTACTTAAACTGTTATCTATTTCATAACATTTACTTATCACTGTTATTGTTTACTGTGAACTGTTTAATTACCCCTTAAATGTTTCAAGATCTTTCATCTGGTTTGATTGTTCACATTAAATGTTTAGACTTTAGACTCCTTTATTGTCCATTAAACTTACATAAAATGGAAATTTTTTCTTACTTTACTGCAAAATGTCTGATTATATAGTTGTTTACTTTAATCACATAACATTTTTTATGTCTTGGTCTCAGGTTAGATGGTCTTGACTCCAACACTGCTCCTCATTTTGCTGATGCAATCGTGTTTTCATTATTGTACATGCTGTTAAGTTAGCACCAGCTTCTGATAGATGAATTAGCAGGGACTAGAGGGGCATTTGTGGATTTATTCAGAGCACACCTGAACATATTATGGGAAAATAAGATGAATCAACCAATTAAGAAACCGATTGTGGATCTTTACAAATCAGGTTCATCCTTGAGTACAAATACCAAATACATGAAGTGCAATGTACATATGTTCAAACTATATTTAATGGGCATAAGCCCCAGGTAATATCCATTCATTATATTGGTTGTTTGACCCAGTAATGAACATGTTTTGGAGTGAAATGTAATCTGATAAGTGAAAGATAATACAATGCTGGCTGAAAGCATCTAAGAGAAAACTATCCCCAGTGAAACTAGTTTTTTACTACATGGGCTCAAAGGCCACTCATTGTGATAGAAGCAATTACAATAAGTGAGAAAGCAACATAAAAGCCAGACAATGTTTTGCAATTGTTCACAGGGACAAACACCTTATCTAATGATTTAAAAGTGGTCCCAGATTTTCAGATTAGCCAATCATTAGCTGCCTTTTATGTATCCTCAATTATTGTTTTGACTGAAAAAAGATGGTTTATGTACAGAACGCTGATATCAAGTTGTAGTCTTAGACAAAGTAAGTTCGCTTCTGTTCAACTTTTCCAACTTGTAGCATTACAGAAAAAAGTTATGATTACAATTTTCAAGTAGTTCTATACCGCAGTGTCAGCAATTCTTCTCATCTGCAACAGCTGCTGCTGAGAAATCCACTGCTGCATGCTAAATCTAATTCGGGGAACAATAATAAAAAAGCAGACTGTGAGGATCTCGGAACTTGTGAAAGTGGGCACTCCAGAAATTATGGAAGAGTTACTTAGAAAAGCCAAGAACAAATAAGACTGTTTAATATTATGTAACGAAGCTGTTTGATTTTAAAACACAATGGAAATCTAACAAGTACTGCAGATTAAAAGTATTTGAGATGTTCAGAAACTTTAATGCATAACTTGTACGTTTTGCTATTTAGGGGTAAACTTTACTAAAATATTTATTTAAAAATCATTCCTTTAAACAGTTGTGTAAGATAAGCAGTATTTCAAGAGCTTTTGCTTTATAAACAATATTATTTGCTATTAATTTGATGTTAAGAGATTAGCTTTTATTTTTTTTCTAACGAACTGCCACGAAGTATCAGTCAGAATTTTATCTTTGTTTTGAAAGTTCACCACCAATAACAACAAAATAAAATTTTTTTCATTTTCTGGAAAACTCACCAACTGCACAATTCTTGGTAGATAGTATAAGATGAACAAGATTTCAAAAGAGTAAAATAAATCTTATGTATTTTGAATAATAACAGTATTTGTTGTTAATCTGTTACTAAGAGATGGACGTGTTTTCTGGCATCCAAGTGCCAAGAAGTAAACTTCTGATTTTTACTTTTGCAAAGTTTAGCCAAGTGTAACTTTATAGTGTCTAAGCAGACAAGCAGTATTTAAAAAGAGCTTATTTTATAGACGATAATATTACTTATTAACTTGGTGTCAAAAGATGAGCATTTTTTCTGCTAACGAATTTCCACGAAATATAAATCAGATTTTTACCTTTGTGTTGAATATCCATTATTCAGCATCAATGACAAAAACTCAAACATTTTCACTTTTCTGCAAAATTCACTAACTGCACAATTCTTGATAAGCAGTTGTGTAAGACGAGAAGTGTTTCAAAACAGCAGAAAAAATCTTATGTTTTTTGAACAATAACAATATTTGTTGTTAATCTGTTGCTAAGAGATGAATGCATTTTCTGGTAACCAAGTGCCACAAAATAAACATCTGATTTTTACTTTTGCGAAATTTACCAAATGTAAATGTCCTGTGTTTCCAGCTGCACATTTCTGGCCAAAAACCGGTGTTCTGGTAAATGACAGGCAGCCCTCTGCAATGGGAGGATGGAGAGAGGGAGGATTTGCATAATCTGAGTTGGAACTTTCAACTTCTTATTTCCAATCATTAATCAGATTGTGTTATGTGTTAAACCACCTGCTGAAGTGAAAGAAGTGAACAGTGCAGTTGTCAAAAGAAAGTGGTTACAGGGAAAAGTTGGCTCGTCTCTGACCTCTTGCATTATAATTAAATGAGATGGATGAGGAGGTGTGGAGGGCTTTCATGACTCTGTTCACAGTAAAGGGAGTACCTTGACATTTATTTTAGCCATAAACAAAAAGAAAACAAAATATTTCAGAAAACTAGTCAATGACTCTTTATTTGAGACATAATCAAATATCTATTGGCCTTCTTACTTTTACATCCTCTCCAGTGTAAGGGGGGATCATTTTGAAGAAGTAAATGGATGCCCGGATGCTGTTTCTGGCTTTTACCAGTACTATAGTCACTAAACTCTGGCTGCACATATTTTTGACAACCTCAAAGTCTCAAATCAACTATTATGGACACCTGTGTGGTTCTTATGATACCCAGAATTGTCTGCTGTGTTTCCAGCTGGAGCTTTTTCAGTAACAGACCAGTAGTCGAGAAAGTGCCAAGCTCAGGAAGTTAGAACTCTGCAATTTGGACTGACTAGCTCCATTTGTGAAAAACAATAAGATCATTTGGCACATTTTGATAATTCTTAGTGACATTCATCTGTTAAGCAGATTTTATAATAAAAATCTAATGAAGGACAAGAGGCATGACAGTAACAGACTGATATTTTAACCACTGCATGTATTTTGCCGCATGATCTGAGAATTCAGACTTGGCAACAACATGCAGAAAGTATTTGTAGGTAACTGGCACATTGTGACTCGCTATGGCTGTGCCATGATATTTACAAGTAATATGTGCAAGTAGAGACTTTACAGAAAAAAAGGAATAAAGCTCCAGTAGTATATGATTTGTGAAATATCACCTACATAAATGCAGAAGTCAGTAAAGTTTTGATCTTGTGTTTCACACCAACAATTGGAATATATTATTTTTATTGTTGTATTAGTTGATGCATAAGACTAATTTCATCCTTTGTGCAATTACTATAGTCATCAACATTGGGTCCAATTTTTAATTATTTTTAATTAACCAGGTTAACCTTTCAAGCTGATGTCACTTCAAATTTATGTTATCTTAGGACAAGTACTTGTGATACAATCAACAAATCTGCAATCATTCCATGAAATATGTTATCATCCTGTATGGCTCACCGACAATAGACTTAGCACACTCATGATTAAAAATGACATATGATAACTATCGAGCAATGTCATAAATGTTCAGAAATAGTTGCACTATGAAATGTTTGCTGGGACAAACATTTCATCGACCATCACCTGTCTTTGCCTGGCTACAGCACAATGTCTCCATTTCCTCATACGCCTCATCCTCTTTTCAAGGTTTGATACGACTAACAGGAGAGTTGATGCCTTTTCAGTCACTGTTAAAATAAAATTGCTTTCAGATGTTTGTGACGTGACTCAGCAAGACTTCATACTCTCTGGCACATGGAGTACTTTGCACAACACTTAATACTAACTGAAGTCTTGAGACTAAGAAACAGGCACATGTCAGGGATAAAGTTATTGAAAATCTTAAAGGCCTACAGTTATCCCCACTTCAGCTTGTAGTTGTGCACTCAACAAACGTGGCCCTGCCAAAAGTTGACTATATAAAACGACTATGTAATAAACTCAAAGGTTCTTTTCAAATGAAATGTTGATCATGTCTGATGAATATTTTAACGACATTGTCAATAAACTGTTTGTGGGTGAAAAGTTTGTCTGGTACCCTTTCTGCATTCAAGGTTGAAGACAGAAATATATTTAGTTCAGATGAATTCACTATGTGGACTATGTGACATTTGATTTAGATGTATGCACTGAGCGAATGAGAGCTTATGAATTAGAATATTTGCTGAATTTACTCATTCAGAGAGACAACACATTTTCCTCAACAGAGAAAATTATATAGTCATCAGTGATTGCTTTCATATTTCTATCAGTGATCAGTTTATTTATTCTAATATATTTAATTTTGAACCCCATGTTTTTCTGTTTGTAAATACCCTGTAAAGAACATGAATGTTATGGGAAAACCAAAGTTATGGCCTCTTGTGCTGATGTACTTTTCTCTTTTTCTTCAGACATTCGTGGTATTGAGGATTTTCTGGACCGTACCTCTCAGCAAGGAATGGACGTGTCCCTTCAAAAGGTGGAATCTAATGTCAACATGATGATCACGGGTCTTTTCCGAACAATGCGTGTAGAGGAGCTGCATCGATACAGAGATACGCTGCGGAGAGCAGTGTTGTTCATGAGCCCAGCTACTGCCAAAGCTTTCATCACCGAGGTAAGGAAGGACAGTTCTTTTGCCTGTTTTGCATTTATGTTTCACTATAAACTGAAACTTTTATCTGTGTGTGAATGACAGTGTAAGCAGAAGTTTTCATTTGAAATATATTCACTTTACTGTGTTTTAAGGGATAAGACGACAGGATTTAAATGTTTTTGAGTGTAATTAGAACAGCGAGAATTTTTTTCAACCAATTCTTATCAGATTACATTATTATTGTCATGTTTTATTGACTTAACTGCACTGTTTATACCCTAGTAAATATCAGTTATAAAGGTTTTAATGTTAGCTCCTCGTCATGCTACTAATTACATTATCTAAAAAATAGGAAGCCACTGGAGCTTTTACTGTGATGCCCTGGATCTGCCAGAAGAGTATTAATATAATAAATGTCTTTCTCTCTCCTATTACTTCAGGGTCCATTGTAAAACAACTCAAATTAAATGAGAATATATATCCCATTTACTGTACATTAGTTTGATTTAATTTACCTTCTCAAATATGTACCAACTACTTCCATCCAAATACTACAAATCTGCATCCAGCATATACCCCTAAGCCCCACATCCCATCAAGCTTTTTATCGCTGCAGGAGACAATTAGAGAAGTTCCTTTGCTCTTATACATAAATGATATGGAGGTCATGGTTGAAAGCAATAGGCTGTAGTATTAGCTATGAATTTATAATTTGTAGTTGTAGGATGGGGCTTAATCCCATGTGTCATGTTCTCATCTCAGTTTAATTAAAAGTGACCTCGGAAGGAGCAATCACAATCTAATTTGGTTGAAAGCGTGACAGGGAGGGGTGAAAGATGGGGTGTTATCTTGTGAATGTGAGTGTGTTCACAACAGTGTATGTGGGTTTGAGTTTTTATGCATTGGCATCATGGAATCAAATCTGAAGCTGAGAAAGCTGTGATTTTTATTTTTTATTTTTTTCTTGGCTATGTAGCGGTCTTTGATATTAAGTCTAAAGGTGCAGGACATCCTGAGGGAATTTTTAAAGTCTGCTTAAAACATTAATAGGCTGTCATATTTTCAGAGCAATTTTAAAGAAAAACATGTTTATGTATCCTTTTTTTAAAAAAAAAAACTGAGTTCAAAGAAAAAATCTTTTGCCTTAAGCACTTTTGATTATTAGTCCTTGTACTATTTGTCAGATAGTGCCTAAAACAATCAAAAGTGGTAGCACATACTGCGGAAAAGAGCAGGGGCTCTAAATGCACATGCAGGCATATGGAAGCACGTACAGTGAACCCCTGGTACAGAGCAGAGGAATTTCATTCCATTGCAAATAAATCATACATGTGCAAAACTGAGAAACACAATCACTGTCTTTGCTACACTTGCAATTCCAACTCCTGACTCGCCAAGGGAGCAGGTTTCTGAGTGAGATAATTTTTTTTTTACCTGTACGACATGGTCACCAACCAAGCTGTACAATTGTAATTGATACAAATATTCAGCTGCAATAGTCGTCAACCTAATGATGGCTATGGCATCCTTAGGTAAATTTTTGCAGCATTAAACAAATTTAAACGAAAATGTAAAAATTTGCATAGCAAGACGAAGACAAAACCTATAAGAGCCAATTTAGGCAATTTATCTGCAAAATAGTTCATTTTGGGGTTAGTTACATTTTATAATCCCCTCTAAAACTTGCTTGTTTTAATTCTTCACACAGCAATTATACTTTTAATATACATAAATATACAGCATAAATCATCTTGGCACTAGCACAAAAGCTGATATCCACAGTCCTGTTTATATTTGCTCTTGAGGGTACAGCCAATTAGCAGCAAGTAAAATCAGTAAAATTTAATTGAAATTAATATTTTATATTTAACTAAAATAATACTTTAGATATGCTCTATAAAAAAAATCTTCAAATTTAGAGTTGTGTTCCACAGATAAATCTGCAAATTAGTTCATTTGCAAATACTGAACCGCCAATATTCAACTGCTATTAGGCCATGGACATAGTCTTACAATGAATGACACTTCTTTGGTAGATGTTAATGGGATATTTCAGGTATGAGGTTAACATTTTGCCCTAATTTTATGCTAGAAAACTGATCACCAAGGATAAAAGTTCTAGTGAGTTTAGGAAAGGCCAAATTGTAATGGTTAGCCAGTTGAGTCAGAGAATCTCCACAGCTGCAGCTCTTGTAGGGTGTTCCAGACCTGTGGTGACCAATATGATTTAAGAATCCAATTTGCATATTTGGTCAAGTGATCCAGGCTGCAGTGGGAGAGAGAGACAAGCACATTCTAAATATGTATAGAACTAAAAATGAGCTTTACAAATTAATTTCATAGCTTTGAATAACAATAGGTGACTAAGGTTGTTG